GTGCAAAGGGATAACACAATGTTCCCAGTGGTAGGATTCAAATAATTTAACAACCGGTTCTCTGCCCTAATGACCAGCTGGGTAGGTGTGGCTTGGTGGTCATGTGACAGTGTGGGCGTGGCCAATTCAACATCACTCACGACAATGGGTGCTTCGCCTTAGCTATTACAATGTAATAAGAGTTAACCAGAGAGGCAGTTTCTGTAAGCAGGGCAATAAAAACTAGGCTAAAAACAACACCAGAAAGTTTCCTTCCTCCCTTCCTTACAGGATTAGCCCTGTAAAGTGGAAAAAAGCTAAATAAGATTTCTTCCAACAACCGGTTCTCCTTAGAACTGCTTAGAAAGTTAACAACCAGTTCTCCTGAATAGGTGCGGACTGGCTGAATCCCACCACTGAATGTTCCCCTTTAGCACAAATCTCCCCACAAAGGCCAGAGAGCCACCTGTCTGAAATGCTTCAGCAGAACCTGCGCAAAACAAGGGCTTATGCTCAATAACTTCTGAAACTACTCAGTTTGTGGCAGTGGTAAAAGGAACATTGTGGTTGTGAACCAAAAGTGGTAGTTGGAAATGCTGTGGTCATTAATTGAGTCAGTGCATCCCTATGAGCATTTTCTGCCGGAAAGTGGCTGAAAAGGTTGGTTTGCAATAAAACAGTCACAAATCATTTCATATGACTGTGGGATGCTGCAACTGACCACAGAGGCAAGTCAGTTTCCACTGCTTCAAATATAGTCATGTGAGTCCTTCCTGGAATCACACCAAAGCTGCGGTGTGATTCCAAGAAAACAGATGTTTTCTTGTATTGCAGACAATCTGCTTTTGATACATTTCTCACCTGCTCCAAAGCACCTTTTTTGAGACTGAATTCAACATGCAATACAATTCTAGTGAGGACACGTTTCCCAAAACCGCTAAAGTGCAATAGTACAAAAATATTTACTCTTTTCTCCAAATCACAAGAATGGCTGTGTGGCCATATCAGAACATCTACAAATTCCAGAAGCACCATTAATGAAACGCCATTTACCATCCTCAAAGCTCTCTCTGCAGATGCACCAGATGATTAGCTCTATTCTAAAATATGAGGTTTCCTTCCTCAGGCAGGAAGCAGGTGTTATCTGGAAATCAAAGAAATAAGTTTCTTCCTTCCGAAATACTGAAGGGTTCATTTTGTACACGTTTCATAGATGGATAAATCAGATAACAGCCATATACAGTGCAAATGATTGCAGCTTCCCTGCATTTAATTAAACAAGCATTAGACAGTACAGCCTTGTGTGCTTCTTAGACATGCAGTAAATCTGCACTAAGGGTCTTTTCCCACAAATTATTTATGGTGTCATTGGAACAACTTGGTAACCCCAGTGTTACCCCTGTCATAATGATGTTTTCTTCTGGCCAGGCATTGATTTATAGAGCTTGGGCCTTTTGTATTTTTCATCCTGCAGCAATGTTTAAAACATTGCATAAGTCAGACAGTCAGATGGTTCAGCATTATACCATTAGCTCTAGCACCACAGCAAGGCCCAATAGAGCCATCGTCAATTCAAATGAAGGTCTTTGTGGTGGTATATGCAATGTATTATGATGGGAGCCAGATGTTTTAATCAGTGTCATTAGCCAACAAAACCCCTGTAATGCAGATGTCACCAGGTCATCAACCATACTGGATATGATGTTTCTCATCTCATCAAGAAAGGGGCTTCCACAGCCTTAAGATCAGTGGTGAAATCCAATTTTTTTCACTACCGGTTCTGTGGGCGTGGTGTGGCTTGGTGGGCGTGGCTTGGTGGGCAAAGCAGACGAAGGATACTGCAAAATCTTCATTCCTATCCCACTCCTGGGGGAAGGATATTGCAAAATCTCCATTCCCACCCCACTTTGGGGCCAGGCAGAGGTGGTATTTGCCAGTTCTTTGAACTGCTCAAAATTTCTGCTACTGGTTCTCCAGAACCTATCAAAACCTACTGGATTTCACCCCTGCTTAAGATTCATAATTAATATAAACATTCATTTGCCTGTATTGACCTCAAGTAACCCTGTATGGAAATACATTTTTGACGTGAGTTATTAAAGTAAAGCAGATGAAATAATAACAAAAAAAGTCAGTTGAAACTTTCTATCTGTAGAAGTAATAATAGCCAATATATATGGAGGGTGCCAGTTCTCTCATCATTATTAATAACATTTCTTACACCTGAGAATACTGGAGTGTGACAGTTACTGTTACAATCTTCAAAACAGGAGATAGAATCATGCCAACAAACCGCAGCCCTATAAGCCTCTTAAATATAATTAGCAAATGCAAAGCATTTAAACAGGAAGTTGCATAAACTCATGGACCAAAACTATACCTTACAGACAAGCAGATTTGGGGGGCAAGAGATCTACAATAGACCACTGCCTAATTCTGCAATCTCTAGCAGATAAATATTCACATGGCACACAATCTTCATTGCAAGTAGTTTTTGTAGATTTTAAAGCTGCCTTTAATTCAACTTCTAGACAATAATTATGGAATAAGCTTATACACGCTTCCTCTGACAGTTGTCTTCTGTTGATGATGTCAAGATTATAGGGAAGCACCAATCTTATACTCAGGTTTGATTGTGCTGGCCAAATGTCAAATACAGTTACAACAGAGAAAAGTGTCAGGTTGCTTGTATTTTACCTTTTTGCTGTTTAATATTTACATAATTTCCCTGGTAAGGTGTTTGCAACGTCAGAACTTGTGGATTTTGTTTTAGATCTTATTGGTAGATAAGAAGTAAAATAGACCTAACTGGTTTGTCTCCAGTTCTTATTTGGGTAAAGTCATGGGAATAATTAGTTGGAGATACAGGGCTACAAATTAAATTGGGCCTTGTAACAAAAGATTCTCCAACCTCCAAGGGACTCACAGAGATTCACACCTGCAAATAATTATGTTTTCTGACATAACTACTTATGGATTGGAAAGAAAAGATTTTTCTATCTATCTATCTATCTATCTATCTATCTATCTATCTATCTATCTAATTTTATTTTATTGAATTTATATACCGCCCTACTCCCAAAGGACTCAGGGCGGTGAACAGCCATAGAATAAAACATATAGATACAAAATTTAAAATAAGATAAAACGAATTAAATAATTTGGCTGGCTATGGCACCTAACACCAGCCAGACTAGCCAAAATATATCCAAACACCTCCCCACGCTGTTGGAAGTGCAAAACAAAAAAGGGGACATACTACCATGCCTGGTGGAAATGTACAAAGGCCCAACAATACTGGAAGGACACAAAGGAAACTATTGAAGAAATAATAAACCAACAAGTAGAAAACACTCCAGAATTTTTTTTATTTGGAATGATAACAACACAACACAATAAAGAGACAAAATACCTCATCATACACATTTTGACAGCAGCACGGTTACTGTTTGCGCAAAATTGGAAATCAGATCAACTCCCAACCAAAGACAAACTAATCTCAAAGATAACAGAATGTGCCAAAATGGATAGACTGACACTAGAACTCCAAGATAAAGAAGAAAGTGAATTCTATCTTGTGTGGCACCAGTGGTATCAATGGCTGGAAAAGAAAATCAGTACAAATATAGATGAAAGAAAATAGGGTAGAAAAAATAAAACCGGAAATAAATAAATAAAGAGGAGATGCAAGATTATTTCTAATCTAAAACATCTGAATTGACAATGTATTACTTATATATTAACTTATAAAGCAATATATATTCTGATGATGATCAAAACATATATGTAAAGTATGGTGTGGGTAGGTTGGTGGTGGGAACTCGTTTGTCTTTGTAATGTCTTTGTATTTTTTGTATTGTCTTTATATCTCTGTTTAAAACTCGATAAATTTTTTTTAAAAATAAATAAATAATTTGGCTGAACAAATTTAAAACCCCAATAATTTAAAACCAAATTTAAAATTTCCATTTAAAAAGGGGAAAGACTTAGGTCTTATATATATTCATTAGATTTAGAAGCTGCCTGACTTGTTAAGTGAATCTCTGCCCTTGTTAAAATAGTGACATCGTTGTTCAGTGAATCTGGCTTCCAAGTTGATTCTGCTTGTCAGAAAATTGCAAAAAGTGATCCCATGATCTCAGGGCTACCTGTAGTAGTCCAAAGACTACTTTAATCTCACCTTCTCTTTAAAAGTAGCTGGGGGGAACACTTGAGTGTTGCTCACTTCTACTGGAGGAATGAATCAACTTCACTGAGCTGGTCAAGTACCCAAGACCTGAAGGAGAAGCTTCACACACGTGTTCTCCCAGTTTAACAGGAAAACCAATTCAATAAATCAAGGGGTCTCCAACCTTGGCAACTTTAAGACTTGTGGACTTCAACTCCCCAAATTCTGAGAGTTGAAATCCACAAGTCTTAAAGTTGCCAAGGTTGGAGACCCCTGCAACAGATTACTCTATTATCCCTCTGAGTGAGAGGAGGTCCAGTCCCACCAGGAACAAGCTTCGGTGCTTCTGGCTTGATTTCGCCTGGGAGTCATTCGTTCGTTCGATCGATCGATCGATCATTCATTCATTCTTCTCAGTTTCGATAACGACGTTTTTTCCAGCTGTCCTAGCTGGTTGCTTCGCGGGAACCGCCGAGGACATCTGTCCTTTCCTGGTGCTGAAGTCCGGCTAGTTTTTTCCCCCCTCCCTCGGGTCACCCAGTCCAAAAGAGAAACTCACAAGGATGCTACAGTATTAGTCCTATGACCACACACTCTCCCTCCGCTCCTCCCCGGCCCTTCTCTTTCTTCTCTTTCTCCTCCGCTAGCACCGCGTTCGCTTTCGGTTCCACCTCATTTCTGCCCTTCCTTTTCTCTTTTCGTCTTCCGTCCTGTCCCGACTCACCCTACCCCACCCAAACCTCACCCCATCCCGCCTCCTTCGACCGCAGCTCTTCCCCGAGCGCTGCGAAAGCTTCGTTCGGCTGCTCAGCGCTGGATCCTGGGGTGGTCGCGGGGGTCTCAGTCGCGGAGTTCCCCGTTCGCCTAGCCAGGCTGACGCGCGTCCACTCTCCGGAGCACAAGACGTCCCGAAGACCGGGCTCGACGGCAGACAACGCAGCTCAGGACCCCGGATCGTGGGAATCATTCTGCATCTTCCCCTCTCTTCGTCCCTTTTCGAATGTTTTTGCGATCTTTCGACGGAGAAAAGAGGGACTCCAGGTGGCTTTTTCCTCCCTTCGCAAACTTTCCAAACTGCCATTAGTCTATCTTCTGAAGCCTGGTCGCTTTCTTTCCGCTGGCAAACCTCGTTTCTGTATCCACCATCCACCCCCAGGTTTAATTCCCCGGGCTGCTCTCTTCTAAAGCCTCTCCGCTGTTGACACCCCCATTTTCCTTTGCTCTTCCTCCAGGGCAGAGCATGGTTTCCTTTGAGAAATTCCTCAATTCCATCCTGCACCCACTCAGGTAAACTGTTCCTCCCCACTACCTGCCTCACAGAACCCTCCCCTTTCGTAGAATCCTTCTCCGCTTTCTCTGGTCTCCTCCAAGGCTCAGCATTGACACGATGAAAGAAGTTGGCCATCAAGTCAACTCCACTGGCAACTCTACTTTTGACATTGATGTTCGGTGCCCAGTTAATATAGATTTCACCCAATGGTTCCTGCCTGCTTTCTACCTCATTCTCTCTGCCTTGGGTCTTTTGGGGAATACACTGGGCTTGTGGACTTTATGCAGAAGTTCATGGAAGAACAGTTGGAACTCCTTCAACGTGCTATTGTGTAACTTGGCAATTGCAGACTTGTTTTATGTGATTACACTGCCCTTCTTCGTGTCGTACTATCAGCTGGGACATGTGTGGCTCTTTGGCCAAAGCTGGTGCAAGCTAACTCGGCTTTTCTTCCATGTCAACCTTTATGCCAGCATTGGCTTTCTGACCTGCATCAGTGTCCATCGTTACCTGCACATTGTGCATCCAATGAAGATGATAGGACGATGTCAGACCCTTGGCTCTGCTGTCTTTCTGAGTGTTTTGGTCTGGCTCTGGGTCATGATTCAACTTTCTCCTGATTTAACGTTTAACAAAATGGGTCTCAAGCCTGAGAAGTGCCATGACACAACAGAACACAAAAACGTGGAGTCCTATCTGTTATACTTTCAAATTTTAACAGTGACTGGCTTTGCTATTCCTTTCTTCATTGTCACTGGGTGCTATTGTCATGTGGTCCTTGTCCTCAGGAGGAACAAAAACATGGACCCCAGCCTCAAGCAGAAGAGCATCAAACTGGTGATTATGGTAATGACACTTTTCTACGTGTGTTTCCTCCCGTATCATATCTTTAGGAACCTTAACTTGTTGTCTCGAAGATGGCAACGTCAGGGATTTTGCAACCAGACTTTAAAGAATATTTATATCTTCTACCAAGTGACTCGAGTCTTGGCTAGCCTGAATAGTGTCTTGAACCCTTTGTTATACCTGCTGGCCCGTGAGGATTTAGGGGTGCAGTTGAGGAAGTTTGGTAGAAGCATGAGACTGAGTCTGAAGATTTCTTTTGAGGGCAAAGTCCAACCCCATTTGGAATTAAGGCAATCAAATATTGTGCTTGATAAAGAATGTGAAGAGATACTATCTAGTGAACTCTGAATGATTGTTTGAATTTGAAGGAACATATAATACATGCCTACCGTCTGCAAGACTCCTCCCTCTTTTCCAGCATTCCTATCATTTGATGGATGCAGGTATTAATAGTTTGAAAACTGGGTTTGGACCACAATCTAGAAGCACCATGCAAACGTGCAGAAGATGTGGAGTGAGAATGAATTCAATGCAATGGAACAGGCTATGAAAGATAAACAAGTAAATTTATGGGCCTGTGGTTTTATTATTTGCCTGAATTAATCTTTAACTCGGATGAATAGCCCTGCCCTTATTACTTTATTATATTTGTATTTTCCATGGGAGGTCCTCTGAAGAGGTTGGAATATTTAAAAGTTGCTGGATGGAAAACACCAAATACATTATGTATAATAGTACTCCTTTTTCTCTCTGTACGTGTATGGTGGCAGTGGGAGACCATACAAGACTCAAACCAGAAGATTTATTCAGTTGCCATTAATGTATATCTATATAGCTATAGCTATTGCTCTCTAGCTGGCTAGTTAGCATTTCCAATGAAATGTGAAATGTCTATTTTTCCTTACTGGGAGCAGGTAGGCAGTGAAATCTGGATTGGTTCAAGTTCTGCAAAATTTAAAAAAAAAACTGTTTTAGGCTGGGAGTGATGAACTTTGGTATCTGATGGCTTGTATAAAATTGTATAAAACGACTTATATAAAAAAGCTAAAAATGTATGGATGTATTTTTGAAAGGCTACATTATAATATATTACACAAAATCACAACGCATAAATATCTTTTCATATAGAACACATACACCCATCCATATATATATATGGATAAGTGACTATACTACCGGTAGGTAGGGTATTTGGAGGAACTAACTTCTGCATATATCACTTTCACTCTTTAACTACAAGTATTTCAGCACATGCTGTATTATCTTGTTCTATGATTAATAGTTTAATCCCATCTTGAACTGTATACCAAGGTGGAAATGGGGGGAACTGTAAGGTAAAACTATAACAGAATAGTTTGTTATCTTTAGAAAAAATTTAAAATGGATTTGCTTGAGATAGAGATAGATAGATAGATAGATAGATAGATAGATAGATAGATAGATAGATAGAGATAGACAGTCAGACAGACAGACAGAAAGAGAAGGAAGGAAGGAAGAAGGAAGGAAGGAAGGAAGGAAGGAAGGAAGGAAGGAAGGAAGGAAGGAAGGAAGGAAGGAACTGTGACTATCCTGTCATTCATTTTAATGAATATAACCTTTTGATGTAATGTTTTTACCAGTTTTATCTTTTTTCTTGTTTTGTTCATTGCCTAGAGTTGGGCAGCTAGTAATTATAAATACATAAACAAACAAACACATAAACAAACAAACAGACAAATAAAGGGCGCTATACCAAATAATCTTGGACAGCAGTTAGAAAATCTGTGCATTGACAAAATTTCCATCTGTCGATTGTAAAAGGCTACACTGCTTGGATCTGCATATACCAATACATTATGATATGATACTATGCTGATACATTATGATATGATACTATGCTGATACATTATGATATCCTAGGTTCTTGGGAAGAATTTGATCTCTATAAAGGCCAATAACAGCTAAAGAACTGGCAGCTGCAACTTCAGATTGTTATAGAATAGAATATAATTTTTTATTGGCCAAATGTGATTGGACACACAAGGAATTTGTCTTGGTGCATATACTCTCAGTGTACCTAAAAGAAAAGGTAAGTTCATCAAGAATCATAAGGTACAACACTTAATGATAGTCGTAGGGTACAAATAAGAATCAGGAAACAATATCAATATAAATAAACTGTAAGGATACAAGCAACAAAGTTACAGTCATATAGTCATAAGTGGAAGGAGATGGGTGGTGGGAATGATGAGAAAATTAATAGTAGTGCAGACTTAGTAAATAGTTTGACTGTGTTGAGGGAATTATTTGTTTAGCGGAGTGATGGCATTTGGGGAAAAACTGTTTTTGTGTCTAGTTGTTTTTTGCTTTTTTTTTGCTTTTTAATTTATATGCAGTGCTCTATAGCGTCGTTTTGAGGGTAGGAGTTGAAACAGTTTATGTCCAGGATGTGAGGGTGTGAGGATTATGAATAGATAATAACAATTCAAATTGATGTGACTAGAAGAATTAAATTTGACTTGCATATAACTTTTCACTGGGCAAACAGAAAGGCTGCTCTCTTTTTCTGCTCCTTTAGGAACAGAAAAGCCAACAGAAAGGGGTTACTCCACTTTTTTTTGGAGTAGTACCATAAAAGTATATAACAATGGAAAGATAATTTAATCAATAACTTTTGTGAAGGATTTGCTATTAGAATAGCAGTTATAAAAAAGAAAAGTGAAACGAGATATACAAAAATTATCACGTCAGTTAATACTTAGTTGGGTAACCTTTAGCATGAATTACGGCTTTACAACGTCTTCCCATGGAGTGAACCAAAACTTTTAGTTCTGCAGCTGTTATAATGTGAAACCAAGATTGAATGATTGTTTCTAATAACTGGGTTTTATTGTTGGGTTGCTTCTGACTAACAAGTTTCTTTAGTCGGCTCCGTAGATTTTCAATTGAGTTAAGGTCTGGGCTATTCCCAGCAGTGGAATATGATTATCTTGAATTTTTTTTTTTAAAAAAAAGTGGTGTTATTAGCCATCAAACCTTAAAAATACAGTTTCCCCAAAAGGTTTCCACAAGTTTGGCCACTACTGTAACTTAACTCAGTTTGGTCCTGGAAAAAAAACACCCCTCTGTTTTTTAGTGATGTTATTGTCCTGGGCCTTGTGCAAGCCCACTATGTATAATTAGCTTTGAGCATCCATGACGTTATCAGAATTGAACTTGACTGAAAAATTTTTTTATTTTGGGGGGAAAATGTATAATCAGAAAAATGTATAATCATATCAGGACTGCTTACAATAAATAGATGTATCTTAAGACAAAACCTGGCCAGAGTTGCAGGGAAACATGTGGCATATAAATTTAATCCTGCAGATGGATTAAATTCTCATGATGACAATGATGATGACAATGATGATGACAATGATGATAATGATTAAACATGACCTACTTCGCTGATCTAAAAAAACCTAAGAAGGTTGCCCTTGGTAAGTACCTCTTAGTTCTTATAAGAAAACCAAGAATACATGCTAGACTGGGAAATTCATAAACTGTCATGGCCCCATTGGAACCCATTCAGAGGAGGAGGAATTGGAACTGGGACTGTCTGACAGGGATGGCATGTCTCCCTTGGCCTGTTTGGAGAGGCTTCTGGTAGGCCCGTAGCTCCCTGAGCCTCTGTGTGCGCCATGCACTTACTGCATCCAAAACGGACCACATGGGAACTCCTGGGAGGGGTGGCCGGGGCCAGCCAGGAGTGGGATTTGGGGGTTCTCCAAACTGCACAGAATCTTAGCTAAAGGTTCTCCCGAACCCCTGCAAAGCCCCAGCAGCCCACCCCTGTATGAGTGTCTTTTTTCATGATATTTGGCACCGACAGGTTCTGCCATACATCCCAACTCTTCCTTTCTCAGATCTGTGAAGATTGTAAACGATAGTTGCTGGCCAAGTCAGTTGCTAAACATGGACTACAGTACTTGTAAAATCAGGTTAGTAGCCATTAAAGAAAAAAAATTGCTCCATGAAGAAAAAAAAACTGGTTTCAAAATATTTGTTCAACCATGGTAATTATGGATTCAGTTGAAATGGCATGCCTTGTAATGTATCCTGTGAATTTCTAGGCTTAGCCTGTAATGGAGTAATGTGTACCAGAGAAAATGAGCTCAAAGTGCTCATGAGAGAGAAGGTGACTGTAAAACCACAGCAGGAAATTGTGCCCAGAGCTTTTATTTACAACTGGAGGGTGTGAGTACAGAGCAACATCCATTCCTCTCGTCTCAGCCTGGCTGCTGACATACTCAGACAACAGTGCAACCAGAGGTGCTCATAAGACATAAGATTTGTCTGTGCTTGGTAAGAAATCCCAGGTGTTTGGCATTTCATGTTACAGTGGATTCTGCCATTGTATATTCGTATTAGGAAACAGGGACATGGTGGCTCAGTGGCTAAGATGCTGAGCTTGTCGATCGAAAGGTGAGCAGTTCAGCGATTTGAATCCCTAGTGCTGCGTAACAGGGTGAGCTCCCGTTACTTGTCCCAGCTTCTGCCAACCTAGCAGTTCAAAAGCATGTAAAAAATGCAAGTAGAAAAATAGGGACCACCTTTGGTGGGAAGGTAACAGTGTTCCATGTGCCTATGGCGTTTGGTCATGCCGGCCACATGACCACGGAGATGTCTTCGGGCAATGCTGGCTCTTCAGCCTTGAAACGGAGATGGGCACCGCCCCCTAGTGTCGGGAACGACTAGCACATATGTGTGAGGGGAACCTTTACCTTTAATATTAGGAAAATGAGCAAGAAAAATAAATCATGTTCTATCTATATCATTTCACAGCCCATAAGAACACAAGTCCATAAGAACAAACCAGAAAAGTAGGAGGAGGGGGGGAAATAAGATTTATTTTTAAAAATTACAGCCATAAATTTAAAAATAAACCTATAAATTATGAAGATAGGCAATAATCGAATATATATTCTACAGCCTAAACCCCCCACAATTAATACATTAAGGAATTGTTATGGTTAATATTATACAAACCAGAGAAGAATGAACACAAAATAAAATTTAATGGAGGAAGCTTTTTTTTTTTTTTTGTAAGGCCAATTTAATGATAGGAAAAAATGGGGAGGAGCAGGGAGTGGAACAGAAAACAAGGAACAGAGTGAAATTGCAGTAAAAAAAAAATACTGAAGACTATAAACGTCCTCTATAAACAAGGTCATACAGATATAAAACCACGTGTGTCATTGAGAACCAGAGATTTTTTTTAAAAAAAAGTCTAACTGCCTCAATAAAAGCAAATGGAATTTAAAAAACCAATTACATTTTAAATGTTCAACGTAAGCTTAAGAAATGAAGCACTTTTCAGCTTCCATGAATTTCTAAATACGATTTGATAGATGACAAGTGCCTGCTGAAATATTGAAGATTCTCCAGAGGTGGGATTCACAAAATTTACCTCAGCACCAAAAATGTGAGCGCGTACTTCACTCGCACATGCCACCTCTGGCATTCACCCGGCCTTCCGTGCATGCGCTTTGCTCGCACGCCTTTCACGCATACACCCAGCCTCAAAAACGTGGCTAAATAGTGGTGGGTTGCTCCTGGTTTGGACCGGTTTGCAAGAACCGGTAGTAAAACCAGTGGGAGACTCTGTCCACCACCCCGGATGTCGTCATTGGCGATCTGCGTATGCGCAGAAGCTTCTCCACATGTGCAGAAGCAAGGTGCGCGCACAAGCAAAGCGAGCAAGCACGATCCCATTGCGAACTAGTAGTAAAGGTAAGTAGAACCCACCCCTGCAGCATACCCATGATTTCTGCTACCGGTTCGCTCAAACCGGTCCAAACCGGATGAATACCACCTCTGAGATTTTCCCTTGAGTGGTATTTCTTCTGTTATGAAGCATATTTCTGCAAGAGACTTTTGATATCCTCTTTCAATTATATCAACAAAGAGGACATTCCTTAAGATTTCATTCCTTGAAGGAATGCCTAAGGAACTAAATAGCTGGACTTATCATCTGTGTGAAAAGGGGAACCTAAAATACGATGCAGCCT